TTCTATCGAGAAACGCTGTCCATACGAGAGAAGTACTATCCTGCTGGTCATCCTGACACTGCTTCGTGCCTCAATAGCATGGGTCGTGTGTTAAGCGATCAAGGAAAGTACGATGAAGCGCTCGATTACCATCGACGAACACTAGACATGCTCGAGAAGTATTATTCTAGTGAGCATCCTGATATTGCTTCTACTCTTAACAACATGGGCGTCGTCTACGAAAGCTGTAATCGACGAAAGCAAGCACTTGATTGTTACCATCGATCTTTGGCGATCTACCAGAAAATCCTACCTGTCGGCCATATAAGTCGTGAAAAGATTGAAAAGAATATTCGTCGGCTCTTGTCAAAGAATTGAAGAAATGTATACGTAGAACGTTTTGTATTAGGCTGGCAAGACATTTGACGTGTGGGTATGGGGTAGGTGTGTGGGTGTGAGTGTAGGTGTGAGTTTAAACAAAAACTTTAGACACCCACACCCATCCTACTTCTGAACATACTATTGCTGCTTTTCATCGGTTCGTAAATGTTAATCTTGTAAAAAAGAAAATCCAGAAAACTTAATTGTTACAAATAGATTACCAAAACTCTGTAATTGATATATTGTGAGGTGTACGTAATTGAAAAGTCGAGCAAAGAACCTTTTTTGTGCAATATTCATATATGGTTAGATAGAGCTCGACGAGCTCTATCTAACCATATATGAATATCAGAATCCTATCGTCTAGATATGAACAATACCCTGATCATGTTGCTATATTTATTGCATCATCACTAAAGAGACTTTCTAATTATTCGTCCAATGATAATATTCTAATTGATGAGAAAGAGAAACACTGTTCATTGTTCATTCATTCATTATCGATTTATAATATAGAAAAAATGCATTATTTTTTCATTGACGTCAACGGTCACAAGAAGAATAAGTGTACATCTATATAAATGATCGTCTATATGAGATAAACAGAATTTATACATCAATATAAACACCCAGGTCGACCAATCTGATAATAGGATCCGATAGGTTCCGTCTCGGATCCTATCGGCATCCTATCGGATTCCTACCAAATTCGGCCGAATCCTATCGGATTTTCCCGGAAAACCGGTTACGGAAATGTGACGGAATCCCCGGTATCGGCAATCCTATCGGATCCTACTGTCGACATCCGATCGGCAGCTATCGGAACGGAAGCCGATCGGAAACCACTTTCGGCAGCCAACACTAACGTTACTAACGGAAGCCGAATCGCTCCAACTGTTCATAATCCATCAAATGCCATATTTAAAACCAAAAAAACATCTCAACGCACAATAAATAATGCACACAAATTCGAAATACTAATATACTCATACACAAAACCATTACGAACCGCCTGCGAAGCCTAACTCAAACAATACTATTCACCAACCTATCCTCATAAAATTACCAGACGTCCATAATAGCATCTCTGCTAAAGCCAGCCAAAAAAAGCTAAACATTCACCCCTAACGACACATTCTCATGAATTAAAAAACTACATGCGTTTTACACTAAACATCGTCTTTCAAAAACATACTCAAACTAGCCTACCAATCGATGAAAGCAAAAACAGACACTAAATTGCATACATCCCTTCCTCAACAAAGAGTTCCACACCCATATTCCACACATTCAATACAATCTTACACGATACAACATTCTAACCATAATATTATCGAACAGAGCTCTATACGCACACATCTCTAGCCCTTTCCAGGAATCAGTTTCAAAAATCTATCACATTCGACACGAAAGACAATTATATCAACGCTAAACAAGAAAATACACATGTAGGTATGCCCATTTGCTCAATTCCGGAACACAGTTTTCAAAATCCGATCGGATCCGATAGGATATAAAATTGTATCGATGCTAAGCTAGGATGTGAGATACAACTATGCATTTTTCGCCATTCTCCGAACTGAATTTTCAAAATCCCATCGGATCCGATAGGATAGAAAATTATATCAATGCTAAGCTACAATGTGTGATATAAATATGCATTATTCGCCATTTCCAGAACTCAATTTTCAAAATCCCATCGGATCCGATAGGATAGAAAATTATGTCAATGCTAAGCTAGAATGTGAGATAGAAGCATGCATTTTTCGCCATTTCCAGAACTCAATTTTCAAAATCCCATTGGATCCGATAGGATAGAAAATTATATCAATGCTAAGCTACAATGTGAAATACTAATATGCATTTTTCGCCATTCTCTGAACTCAATTTTCACCATCCCATTGGATCCGATAGAATAGAAAATTATATCAATGCTAAGCCACAATGTGAGATAGAAGCATGCATTATTCGCCATTTCCAGAACTCAATTTTCAAAATCCCATCGGATCCGATAGGATAGAAAATTATATCAATGCTAAGCTACAATGTGTGATATAAATATGTATTATTCGCCATTTCCAGAACTCAATTTTCAAAATTCCATCGGATCCGATAAGATAAAAACTTATATCAACGATGGCCTTCAATCGCGACATAGTGGTATGTATTTTTGACTATTTCCTGAATTCAATTTTCAAAATCTCATTGGATCTGATCGGACAAAAATTTATATCAACAATGAGCTCCAAGCGAGATATGTAGAGACACACTTTTGACAATTTCTAGAACTCAATTTTTGAAAATCCGATCGGATCCTATAGGATAGAAAGTTATATCAATGATAAGTTTCAATGCAGATATGTAGGTATGAATTTTGGGCCATTTCCAGAAGTGAATTTTTAAAATCCGATCCGATTCTATAGGATAGAAACTTATATCAATGGTAAGCTCTAATGGAGATATATAAGTATGCCATTTTCGGCATTTTCAGCACTTAATTTTCAAAATCCGATCGGATCCTATAGGATAGAAACTTATATCAATGCTAACCT